ACTTTTCTCATCTTTCTCACCAAAATACCTGACAAAAAGAGACTTACGGGTAAGGTATTTTAGCTTCCAGTTGGGGATATAATACAGTCCCATCATGGTGAGACAGGCATGGCATCAGGCAACTCCATAGTGGAATGGGGAACAGTGGATAGTAAGTGGATCCAGACGAGAACCTCAAGCCTGTCCACCTTGACCCACTTTCCCTCAGTGAGGTCCCACCTCTTAAAGAGTCCATAGTCTCTCAAAACAGTGCCACCAGTTTGGAACAAAATGTTCAAGCACATGAGCCTTTGGCAGATATTGTGTATTCAAAACACAATGGGTGACACTGCCCTGCCACTGAATGCCAGTGCTCCCTGAGTGTGTAGGTCTCCTTTAGGCCTCTAGTTCTCCTAATGCACTGTGGCATTATCAGCTGTGGCATTTGGTCGGTTGGTCACTTAGCCATGCATATCTCCCTTTTATCTTCCTTTGCTCTAAACGGCAAAGAGACACACCATACATAGGCCTCAGTGGAAAAACACGTCTCGGATGCTGCTCAGTCTTGTTCAATTCTGTCCTGTCAGTACTTTTGTCAACATGACACAAGCTAGAGTTATCTGAGAAAAAGGAACCATAATCTGAAAACGCCTTCACAGCATTGGCCACTAGACAAGCCTGTGGAGCCTTTTCTTAATTAATGATTGATGTAGGAGTGCCCAGCCCATTGTCTGAAGTGCCACCCCTGGGTAGGTGGTCCTGGCATGTATAAGAAAGCAGGTTGAGTAGGCCACTGGAAGCAAGCCAGTAAGCAGTGTGCCTCCAGGGCCTCTGCATCAGTTCCTGACTCCAGGTTTCTGCCCCAACTTCCCTTTATGGTGGGCTGTGAGCTGTAAGCTGAAATAAACCCTCTCCTCCCTAAGTTGCTTTTGGGCATGGTGCTTATCACAGAGGTAGAAACCTTAACTAAGACAGTGGCTCAGACCTGTGCCAGATGCCATGACCCCAGTGTGTGACAATCAGACCTACTGCCTCATAGCCATGAGCCATAAAGCACAAACAACCAGCAACACATTTTTCTCACACAGTTCTAGGATTCAGGGAACCTGTGTTTGGCACAGGAACCCAGCCCCAGCCTCTTTCTTTGTGTGCCCTTTTGAAAAATGGAAATGTTCTTGAAGTCTGGAAAGCAACTTCCAAGTGAACTGCCTCTGAACTCTTAAGATTCTTTTTATTTCCTCTTGGTTAAATCTCAGTGGAACCGGGGTCGGTCATAATTTTCATGAACACAAGCTAAAGGTTTTTTGTCGCCTATTGAGCAAAGTAGCTGCTTCCTATTGCAAAAGAACCGATTCCTAGTCTCATTGCGTTGGCGTTTTCATTAAAATTTCCATTATCCTCTTCCTCCCAAACACTGTTGTAGATAAATTGACCGTGTTTCGCAGGCAGAATCGCTCCTAATTCAAAATGTGTGGATGGGATGTAGAGGGAAAACTTCACCTCTCCAAACACAGATCATCTTGGTGAGGGGGGGAATGGCTTTTGTTCTGGCCTCCATAATCACAATCAGTATTATTACATTCATCGGCCACTCAGGATCATAAAAAGGACTCTGCATTGAACAGTCATGGAGGTGAGGTAGAGGTGAGGATGTCTAAAGATGTTTTTTAGTCTGGCAGTCTTGTTTTGAGGTCCCACACTTGACCCCAAAGGCTGTGTAGCCTGTGTAGCCTGAGACACTCTGTTCAGGATATTGCCAGTGATCCAGAGCAGTAGTTTCACTGTGTGGAATTGCCATGTACTAGGTGACCTTGGCCAAAGACCTATACCTTCTGAGCCCCTGGTTTCCTACCCAGAAACCAATGCTAACCCAATGCCAATGATACCTGCTCATTCTCACTCAAAGGGTACCAACCAGGTGAGTGTTCTTGAAAGTATACTTTGTCTGATGAAAGCCTATTGTCACCTATGAATAATGGCTTGCTGAAGGTCACAAACAAAATAAATAGTGAAATGAAATCGTTGTGCCAAATCAGCCACTTTCAGTGCAACCCAAGTCCATTCTCCTGTCTTAGCTTCTCTGCTCTTTTCTGTTCCCCATTGTCTCCTGGGTAAATTTGGAAAAGAACGTAGATGCCCTTTGCTTCCTGCCACCATACCCACCCTGTTTAAACCATCCATCTGAGACAGACAGTGTTATGCCTGTGCATTCCCATGATCCTTAAAATGAATCATTTGTCCCCATCACATAGACAAAATCTGAAGTTCAGAGAAGTATGGTGGGTATCATACTGACAGCAAGCAGAGGATCATGCGATTTCTCTGGCCTCCAAGTCTGTGTCCTTAACCACCACAGGGGGATGACAAAACCCTCTCTCCCTTCAAAGAGAGGCATCTCTAAAAGTAGGAATTCTTGAAAATCCAACCTTCCCTGCTCCCAAACCCAACTCAGGCTTATCTATGTCAAAATAATATTTAATTCTGACTTTGTGTGTGAGTATTTAGTGTCTTTTACATATCAGACATAAATCCTATGTGTGCTTGTGTATAAGTCTATTAAATCCTTGTAACACCCTATGAGGTAGTATTATTTTAAAGATGACAGAACTGAGGCTGTGGAGATGGCTCAGTGGTTAAGAGCACTTGCTATCCTTGGCGAGGACCAGGGTTTGGTTCCCAGAATTCAGGTAGTGGCTCCCAGACACCTGTAACTACATCCAGTTCCAGGGAATCTGATGCCTTCCTCTGGCCACTTCAGGGACCAAAAGCATGCATAGGTAGCATATACATACATGCAGACAAAACCACTAATGCACATAAAATAAAATAAGTAAATCTTTAAAAAGATGACACAACTGAGTTTTAGAAAAGTTAAGAAACTAACCTGTCGGTAGTGGTGCACACCTTTAATACCAGCACTTGGGAAGCATAGGCAGGTGGATCTCTGTAAGTTCCAGGCCAGCCTGGTCTACAGAACAAGTTCCAGGACAGCCAGGACACAGAGAAACCCTATCTCAAAACAAGAAAACTAAAATAATAAATAAATAGAAGGGAAGGAAGGAAGAAAGAAATATAGGAGAAAAGAAAGGAAGAAAGAAAGAAAAGGTAAGAAACTTGAATATTTAGCATGACTGCTAAGTGGCAGGCTTGAACTACTGTATTCTATGCATAATAAAAGTGTTTGAGAGAATGCACAAAAAATGATTAACAGCTATTTATGAGGAATTGGATTTAGGTAGGAAATATGGAGGGAAAGAGATTTTACTTTATCCACATTTAAACATCCTCAAGGTTTTCACAGTGTGCAGATACTTCCCTGTTAAGTAGATACATACTGAAATCTCTTTGCCCTCAGTTTCACTAGAAGTTGATTATTTATAATGGTAAGATGGTACTTTTGACTGGATGGGACATTTTAATGGGGAATAAAATGTTTCCAGGGGGATTTCAGAAGTCTGGAGATGATGCCCAGGGTAGCCATGTTGTAACGAAGCTAGGGGCTGTCCATCAAGCCTGTCCAGTCCCTCTCGTGGAACACCCTTGCCCCTGTCCTCAGCACACAGCCATCAGACAAGCAGAGCAGGGGTCTTTGGGGCTGTATTATACGGATTTATATCCTTTCAGAGCCAGAGAGCAAGTAGGCGAATGCAAATTTTGACAGCTGCTTTTGTGGGCACTGACCTCATGGGACTCTTTCAGGCCTGGACCTCACCCTGGGAGTGATTTCCCCACATCCGCTCTAATTTATTGACAAGACTTGTTTCTGTCCCAATGCTGAAGGGATTACTGGGCACCATTTTAAACAATGCACCACCCCAGTCAAAGACACAAACTGAATCATCGTTTCCTCACACCACCAGCTGTGCCCAGGGTCATATTTTTCCCTCTGTCTTCTCTCAGTTTTGAAGATGCTGGCAGCACAAATTGTCTCCAGACATTTCCCACTGTCGCTTTGTCAGCCCCAAACAAAGTCAATTCACTGTTTCCTGGGCCCACCTAGCCAAGCAGCTGAGAGTTCAGGGTTTTATGCCATAGGCACCTTGTCACAGGCAAGCTTTGTTCTAGACAGAAAACCCCAAGGTTTGTGTGTATGTGTTTATCACACATTTAAATATGTAGAGACATATGCATATTATGTATGTATGTATACACATATACATATATATGCCAGATTTCCTTACTTTCCCAAATGTTAAACATAAAATGACACATCTTTTTACAATTGGGAAGGACTAATGAAGTTTATTATCAATATTATTATTTATTTTCAGGAAATTTCAGAGTACGCTTAGGTACAGCTATCTGTCCAAGTTAAGCTGGTCATCAGGCTGTTTCTCCAGATGCCACTAGTTATGAGTTCTTCCATAAATGACCTTGTCTGATAAAGCCAAACCCCATTCATCATCTCCCTAGACTCTCATGGAACTTGAGAGCATCACAGAGAGAATAGTCAGGCCAGATACTCTCTTCTGGAGACTTCTGGGTACAGGACACACTGCTAGGAGCATCTACCAATAACCTGCCAGTACCCACACCTCACAAGGTTCCTTAGTTACCATAGCCATTTCCTAGATGGGGAAGAAGGACACTAATCCTCGTGCCATGAAGAGTCTAGAATCACCCCTACAGAAACACATCCTTCTCGCTTCTCCTTAGAATTCAAGATTTATCTCTTCTCCACCACCCTATAGTGTGGGCCACCCAGATCAGGGCTCTACTCCCTGTCCTTCTGCCTGGAACATGTCACCTTTGCTACTTCAACACCACTTCCTCTGAGACGACAAACCACTGTCTTTCCCACATCCCTTCCCCTCCACATCCTCTATTAAAATTAACCATGTCTTTCTTCACCCATTGTTCTTGACACAAAGGTTTAGTACAGTCCTGTGACACTTCATTGCTGCTATGTCTCCCTTTAACACTAAGGTATGAGTTCTTTCCAGGCTTGACTCTATGGATTTTTCATCTTCCCACAGCCTAGATCCCTTGACAATCAGTAGGTGTCAGCAAATATGTCTTACCTGCAGGGATGGCTGGAGTGAGGGGTTCACTGAAGCAAGCCTTCTAGAAATTAAATAAGCACATGCCATTGCTATTGAGATGTGCTATATTTGCTGGGAAGAGTCAATTTTGCACTAGAAAACAAACAAGCAAAATAGATGAAACTCATAAGATATGAGTAATGAGTAAGCAGCTCATGAGTCACAGAAAACTCACAAAACAGTCATGGAAAAGGAAGTTAGTATGAATGGCTGCACATAGAAAGAGCAAGAGAACCGAGAGGCAACAGATAGTCATGAAATTCTAGTGGTCCGTGTTCATGAGATTGTCAGTCTCGTTAATGCTGCCCCTTCTGAGAGCATATGCCTGCTTGCCCAAGAAAGCTAACTTTAAACCCACCGCTGCCCATCAGGCTAATTGGAAAACCAGAGCTGTTGATCAGGGAACTTGCCCTGGTGTCTCTCTGGTAAAGGAAACTGTTGTGAACCCTGTTGCTCAAACTTCATCTCTCACCTACGTAGGAAAAGAGAATCCCAAAACTGTATGGTTCCTCCACCCCATTCACATCAGGTCTGTGACCTAACTCATTTGTCCCTTCTTGCTTTCTCTGTGTCTTTCAAATAAATTTGAAGGGCTCCAGTGTAACAGTAGTACACTTGCTTGGCACATACCAGGCCAACACTGGAAAAGGATAAACGAATGAATAAAACATTTTCAGCATATTACGTTGGTCTAAGCCTCTCTTTACATGAACTGTGGGTCAGCTTGTTTGTTGGTGTGTTTTTATAGACTGCTACTTCCTTAGGAAGTCTTCCAAGGACAAACACATCTCATATAAACATCACTTCTAGTCACTGGACCCTTCTTCCTTAGCAAGGCAAATTTAACGTGTGTCCTCCCAGTCAGACTAAGGTATTGCTTCTCCAATCACTATAAGAAAGGAGAAGACTTAAGCTAGAGACCTTTCTGTCCAGAGCTTACAGTTGGAAAAGGGTGTCAGAGCTGGAGTTGCAGGCAGTTGTGAGCCACCATGTGGGTGCTGGGAGCTAAACCTGAGTCTTCTGCAAAAGCAGCCAATGCTTTTATCTACTGAGTCATCTCTCCAGCCCCATACACTAATTAGGCTAAGTATATAACCCAGCTCGAGTTGTGGCTTAGTTAGTATGCAAAACATTCTTGAGAACCCTCCAGGGAAAATTGTCTGGTTAAGATTCTTCATTAACCAGTACAAATGGGAGAGGCTTTGAGTCTTTTCTATAAAGATAAGTGATTTAATTTTTTTTCAGTGTCCAGGCAACAAGAACCTACTTGCAGAAGTCCATCCTTGCACCTTATCTAGCTAGTTTGAATTCTATGCTGGTGGACCAATAAAGACTTATCTCACTGAGTGGGGAGTTGACTGAGTTCCTAGCATGTGATATTATTTCTGACTTTCATTTGTTTTCATTGGCCATCAACAGTATTGTAAGTCCTGTTTATTGCTGATGACTTCGCATAGATCAAATTCTTGTATAAAAATGCTCTCTCTTGAGTCACATTGAAATTTTATTCATACTGAGTTCCAAGAGTGTTCCTTTCTTTGAACAAGATCTATGCCAAATAAATCATCTTCCTAATTCTATCAGTGGTTCCTTTAAAAACAAATTTGTTGAGTATCACATATTGACCGTGCCTGTGAAAGTCTGAAAGTTCTTCAGAGACCTGCTGGTTCACTAAGAGAAAGAGGGAGAAAAGAGATGGAGAATAACAGAGGGGAGAGAGAGAGAAAGAGTGGGAGGGGAGGAAGGAGGGAGACAAGCCTCCATTTGATCTTGTGTATTGAATTCACTTTCCATCTTTTAATAATGGGTTGATATTCAATCTCACTCGAACAGCACCATAACATCTACCTCTTGGAGAATGTGTAATGCTAGAAAAATCACCTTATGGGGCCTTGGGGACTGCTCCTGATGTCTGTGACTCTGTGAAGTTGATCACTGGCAGTGCATAACAGAGTCAGGGCTCCATTTGGTTTTATATTGTGTCAGGGAGAACGAGTAGCATTTTTATCCTTGGATCTCCGGCGGGTGTGAAATATGGTGATAATATACTATCTCCATTTGGGCGCTTTCATCTTTGGTCTCATGGTAGGCTGTTTACAAGCGGGTTAAATTCCTAGAGCTGGGAAGGTCTGTAGTGCTGAGCTCCCTGTGGCCAGCAGGATCCCCAGAGGACCTGGATTTCCCATAGACCATGAGCAAATAGTAGAAGAAAGAAGGACAAACCAGCTCAATGGGGACCAGAACTCATGCTTTCACTTTGTTAGGTACGTGCTCACCTGAAAAGGAAATTGAACTGCACTCTGGATAAGGGGTATGGTGGTTATTTATTATGGAAAATTACTCACAAGAGAAGCTGGTAACCCAAGTTAGCCTCTGCAGCCTTCCAAGACACGACCAGAACTGAAGGAGAGCACTGTGTCCCTGTCCCCAGCCTTTTATTCCACCGCCTACTATTACTACTACTACTACTACCACCTACCTACAACCATGCCCCAAATGGGCGTGGTCAATGCTACAGGTACTTGGGATATCTCCCTACAGGTACCAAAGTCAGAACTCTCTGGACCTTTGAATTCAACCAGCACTGGAGCCCCAGGACCCATAAGGTATCTTCTGGGCTCACCGTCTACCTGGCTCCTTCCAATATGCATTTATTGGAGCCTCTCACTCTACCCTCAGAAATCAAGCTTACAGGAGCCACAGGGCAAGAAAAGAGCCATGAGGAGTAGCAAAGGTAGGGAGAACTCACAGGGGCTGGACCTGAGATAGTAAAGCACACATGCTATGGAAGAATAGGGGGAATACCACTGTGATGAGATTGGAATGGAGATGGGAGGGGAGGAGGGGAAGGAGGGAAGATGTAGGAGCCCCTTGGTTGGTTGTTCTCTGTATTGAATGTTCTCTCTATGATATAACTTGTACAACTTCCTTTTGAATCTTCACTTTGGGTTCCAGAAAAGTTCTTTTTTTTTTTTTTTTTTTTTTTTTTTTTTTTTTTTTTTTTTTGTGACCAACCTCATGTGCCCAACCTGAAGTGCATTTCCCTGGGATCATGCTTGCCTCCCACACTGTCTCCTTCTTCCTCTGGGATTTCACTAGCTTTGGTAATTTATGGGTAGGATTTTTTTACTGTTTACATAGAAGCTGCCATGGCTTCTGGGAAGTGAGTTAGGCCTCAGATCATCTCTGCTCTGAGGGAGCGTGGGGATGGGAATAGATGAGCAAGGGTGGCCTCCCTCTCTATTCCCATGAGGAAAGAGGGTCCTTCCTGGTCTTTCCTGAAAGAAACACTGTTTGTATTCCCCGGGCTCAGGAACTTTCTACCACTTATTCAGAAAACTGTAACTTCTTATTTTACATTAAGCTAAGAAAGAAAGAACAAAACAAAACAAAAAAACAGACCTCTACCAGGGAGTTCTGGGCTCTCCTAGATCCTTTGAAATCTTCCCTTTTCTGTCTTTTGAAGCAGTTTTCCTGTACCCTTTCCAGACACTGACTCTGCTGGCATCTCTTGTCCAATCATGCTCTCAGAATACAGCTTGAAACATGTTCGTGTTCAATTATATATTTCAAAAAAAAAAATAGTTTCGATCTCACCTCTCCCGGGGTATTCCATTTTGACAAAGATCAAAGTCTTAAATTAAAAGAATCAATCTCTCCGGGGGTTTTAGTCCCTGATACAGGAGAGATGTACAAAGGGAGGTGTCATCAGGTCTTCCGTCTCTGGAGTTACATGTTTCAGGGGTGACTTGAGAAGAGAACTGAAGCCTTGGTCTGTTACTTATATCTGCTGTGATGTTTGTGGCATGTGGTCATTTATATCCCCTGCTTTTCTAAAGAGAAATATTATCCAACATAATCTCCCAGATAGTGACTAAAGTCCTTCTAGTACATTCCTGATTTGTTTTTCATCGATAGTCCATAAATCAAAGAATCATCTTCTTGCTAGCCAGGACAATTCATTGACAAACAACCCTAAAAAGTAGTTAAGTATTTTTTCTTAATACTTAACTAATGGTCTTTAGTTTGGTGCTTGAAGCCTCATGGGCTAAATCTGTTCTCTGTTGCATAGGGTGGTCTTTCAAAGAGCTAAGGACAACAGTCACATCATCCGGCTCCAGTGTTTTCTTAACTGGAAGTTATCCTGATGATGTAATTGGGCTGAAGATGGAGTCTATGTTGTCTCTCTTGCATCCAGATGGCTTGAGATGGAGACAATATCCCTTCCAAATGGTTGCTAGAATCCTTGCTCTAGGATCTTCAAGCTGCCTTACAAAAACCCCAAGTATCCTAAGCCTTTATTCTGTGAGGAAGCCTGAGCTACACGGAAAAGCTCCAGTAGACAGTTCCAGAATCCCTCCAGCACAGGTGTTCAACATGTGTATGAAGAAGACTCCAGACGATTCCAGCCCAGAAATCTGAGTGAGCCCCAGCCACTGCAGTCCTACCAAATGAAACTGAAGACAACACATGCATCCTCATTATGCCCTGTCAGAATCCCTGATTTATAAGATCCGTGAGTATAACAAAATGAATGTTATAAAATGAATGTAATTTTAAACCATTGCATTTTAGGTTGCTTTTTCGAAGAGCAAGCAAGAATATATCCGAGACCCACTCCTAAATCACCTCAACCATGGCCACTTCTGCCAAAGAATAATGTCAATTCTAAATCCTCTTATTCTTTAACAAGGCTATTAAATTTATTAATCTTGCATTTAAAGCCAGCTTCCTCCAGAGTACCAGGGAAAAGCAGAAATCTCATAAACTGCAGGAAGTAATACCGGAAACAGATAGTGTATCAGAAACAGTGCCAAAAGGACACAGGCTTGCCTGCGCCAGACCTTGCTGTTTTACATTACACCCCAACACAAACTGTTGGTTTGAGCCCATTTATTTAGATAAGAGAGACTCTTAAATCCTTACTCCAACATCCAGGATCAGTCTGTGCCATTTCCAGCCTTGTATCTTTAGAGGGAGGGAAAGTAATGTGGAAGTGAAATCTTAACGCACCCCCACAGTCCAAACGCAGGTGCAGGTAATGCTTGCCTCGTAGAAGAATGGTGAGAATTTGAGGTCAGCGCTGGCTCATCTGGGTTCCTGTAGGGGGGGATGGACTGGATGA